TATAATAAAAAATAAAAATCGAAAACTGTTTAATTAATAGTAATTGTTTTAATTGAAATGAAAATGTTCGTTGCTTGTAGTTTCACCTTTGCTCTATGATTCCCAATAGTTTATTATGTACTTTTAATCGCTTCATTAATAAGTGGGGTCAAAGTCCATTTTTGAATGGTGGAACAATATATCTTTCAATATTTATCGCCATTGATAAGGGTTTTAGACAAAAAAGCGGAACTATCACGACATGCAAAATAAAAGAAAAACTTACCGATAAATCATTTTTTTATTGGGAAAAATAAATTTAATCATTACAGATTCTGATCATCCTGAAATAAGGGAAGATTGATATAATATGTAAATAAATATGTATATAAGAAGGAAATTTATAAAAGGAACGTAAAATAAAACGCAATTAGTGTACAGAAAGAAATTTTTAATTTGTTTAAACTATAAAAAAATTAACGTTCACATAAAACAAGAAAATAAAGTAGTACCAAAATCTGTAATAACCAGTTTTCATTTTTCCAAAGAAAAGTAAAGGAAATAAAAGTTACTTTAACAATAAAAAATCCTAAATTAATATCACATTTACCGTACCAAATAGATTTTTATGTTTTTATTTATTAATATTTTGAAAAACCACCAGAATATATCAATCTTATACTTTTATTATATTTTTTATAAAGCGTACCATTATATTAAAATAGATATTTATAAATATAAAGACTTATGATTACTATTGATAAAAAAAGTGCTTAAAGTTTATGTAATAGTAAATGTAATATACTTTTTTTTTGTCGGTATTATTCATTAAAAATAACTTAGAAACTTTGGGATAGAGCTATTAGTGACACTAACGAAACAACAAACATTCCCATTGAGGAGAATGAATTTCCGCTGTTCGGATTGAACTTACGAGTCTCCGAATGGCTTTGTGGCGGGGTTGTTGTCGAACAGGGTAAACTCTTCTTTATGTATTTAAAGAGCGAATCCACAACGTTAGCAGGTGTTTGGTTTTCGCAACCTTCCAGTTTTTTAGTTACACAATTTTGTAACTTTGTGAAATCACTAGAATTTAATAAGAAAAAAATTGTTAGTATATATTAACTGACTTAGTTGGGTGGATTGAGTGGGTCAACAAATATCACTGCTGCTCGCTAACCTAGATAAAGGAAGAGCATTTCTAGGTGAGGTTAGCTGCCTGCACAACATGAACAAGGACGAAAATACAGCATAAGTATGATTTCTGTAACACCAGAAGACAATGATTGACTTCATGATAACAAATAGAGGTCTTAACATTATTAGCCCATAAAGCTGATTACAAAATATTAATGGAACATCCACACGAATGTAAAGTCAAGAATTGCTGGCAGCAAATATAAAATATTGTTCAAGAAGCTGTAGAAAAGTCTACAAGGAAAGGAAACATTAATATAAACGCCACCAGCCAAATTAAACCATGGTTTTGCTTATGATGTAAACAAGAAAAGATACCAAGAAGACAAGAACATTCTGGGGGTTAATGATGATTTAAAAAAAAAAATAATATGCAACTTACTCGCATTTACCGTCGTCAATCAATATAAGGCTACCAAGGTTTTCAATACCCATATCTTTAGGAATCATATCGGAAAATGTTTCGTTTACGCAATTTTGAATTTCGTTCTTCTTTGATTCAATACATTCAAAACCACCTTCAGCAATAAACACTAAAATAAAAACAAATCATAAATATAAAATGTATTTTTTACAAGTTGTTCTGACTTGAAAGTGTCACTTTATACAAACATTAAATATTCTTGTAAAAAAGAGCTTGATTACTTACTAGCAACTCGATCTCCGTCTTTATAACACATAAAATCCAATAAATTCTCCGTTAAATTCTGAATGGTTTTCGCGGTTTCCTTTTCACTTTCTTCCATACACTTCTCCAAAGTTGTTTGGAATCCATTTACGCAACCTAACAATTCGGGCTTCTTTTTGCAATATTTCCCAAAAACTTCTTCCATAGCGCCGCGTTGTTTTGCTTCATCCAATTCCGTTTTGAAAGCTGTTACGTTTACAATCCCTTGGAAACATGATATTAAGGTATCTTTTGCTTCCTAAAAAATGATCAAAAAAACAAATTAATTCTTTATAGTAATTTATGTTGAATCGTTTTTACCTGGACTTCTTCAAAAGTTGATTCGGTTCCACTAACTTTTAAACATTTTTCTTTAAGCCCTTTTGCTCCTTCTTCAGCGAGTTTCTTAAATTGATCTTCATCAACATTTAAATTTGGATCGTTTAAACTCGTTGGTAAATCTTGTCCAGAAACGGAATAAACTGTAACAAAAAAGGCATATTTCAGTAATAGAGAGACTTTATTCGTCACTGATTGAATGCAAACATTGGCAGATAATCATTGATAGGTTATCTGTCATCTGTCATTTTGACAAGGTTTTGAGCTTATAGGTTAGGTTGAAATGTCAATTTTTTTGTGTTCTAAAATTTTTCTTTTTTATAATCCACAACTAACGTAAGTTATGCCAGTTTCACTTAAGATGCAATAAGTATTTGTGACTGTGCAACTATAAAATTAGAATTAATACTATACCTAGAACTAGAATCATTCGGGATTAGCCGTCTATAGAACGTGCGACTAAAACGAAATGATTCTAGTTCTAGGTATAGTGTTGGTTCTACTTTAATTTCAGAAAAATTAACAACAATTTAGCGCTTAATAACAAATAAAACTAGAACTAACACTAGACCTAGAACTAGAAAGTATCTAGGTATATAAAATTTTTTCGGTTTTAGATTTTGAGATACTATGACAATTTTCGTTTTTTTAAATGGAAACAGCTACGGTTTATTCGTTTATTAAATTTGTTATTTTTTTCTGATTATAAAAATATAGGGTTCGACAGGTCTATTTCTTATTGTTTTAGAATAAAGCTAAAAATAAACTTTTTTTTAGTGTCGTCGAAGAAATTAAATTTACAGTTTCCTGTAAATTACGGTACAATAACTAAAAGAACATATTTCTCCAATCGCAAACAATGTAATCCATTAAATATTTCCGTATTAACAGTCGGTGTAATAAGCATAATTATTTGTTTTTAAATACCAGAAGTTATCTTCTTATTTAATTGTTAACTTTTTAGATTTTACTTACCGCCCCGTAATTTACAGGAAACTGTAAATTTAATTTCTTCGACGACGTTTAGAAATGTTATAAAAAAGTTTATTTTTAGCTTTATTCTAAAACAATAAGAAATAGACCTGTCGTAGCCTATATTTTTGTAATCAGAAAAAAATAACGAATTTTATAAGCGAATAATCAGTGGTTGTTTCCATTTAAAAACACGAAAATTGTCATAATATCTCAAATTTTTTTGACTACGTCACAAAATTCTCTGTAAAAAAGTGTCCATATAATGTCTTAGTTATAATACTTCACTTATAATAATAACCAAGATAATTGCACTTGTTGGTTTTACAATATTTTCAATTTTGGCCTCTAGGGGACAAACAAAAGATGATAGCGGTTTGAGGTTTTCAACATTAGAATTTATTTAAAAAAAGAGATCGAGACATGTAAGCTACTTTTTTTCTAACTCTTATAGTTTCCGAGTTAGCCTATTCGGACATCGAATTTGAACCACCCTCTACAGGGTGATTCCGAAACTCCGAAACTATAAGAATTAGAAAAAAAGTAGCTTACATGTCATGATCTCGTTTTTCGAGAAGCTGCTAATGCCGAAAACCTCATAGCGCTATCGTCTTTTGTTTTTCCGCTAGAGGCTAAAATTGAAAATATTGTAAAACCAGCAAGCGCAATTATCTTGGTTATTATTATAGCTGGAGTATTATAACTAAAACATTATATGGACACTTTTTTACAGAGAATTTGATGACGTAGTCAAAAAAAATTTGTCGGTTTTAGATTTTGAGATATCATCACAATTTTCGTTTTTTTAAATGGAAACAACCACTGATTATTCGCTTATTAAATTCGTTATTTTTTTCTGATTACAAAAATATAGGGTTTGACAGGTCTATTTCTTATTGTTTTAGAATAAAACTAAAAATAAACTTTTCTTTTAGTGTCGTCGAAGAAATTAAATTTACAGTTTCCTGTAAATTACGGTTCTATAACTAAAAATTAAAAAAACATATTTCTGATATTTGAAACAAATATATTTGTTGAACTGTTTAATTTATATATGTTTTACACAAAAGTTGGAATAGATTGCATTATTTCACATTTTTTATTACGATTTAATATTATTTTTAAATGACTTAATAAATTATCGATAGATGGCGCTCATATGTTTTTTTTTTAATTCAAATAAACATAGCAACATTTGTTTGTATTCAAAAATTTTCTGAAGTGTCACTTTAAAAATCCTGTTTTTAAGATCAATTACGAAAATTTTGAAAAGTTTGACATGTTAGAATGTTACATATTAAAAAATTATTTGTTTTTAAATACCAGAAGTTATCTTCGTATTTAATTGTTAACTTTTTAGATTTTACCTACCGCCCCGTAACTTACAGGAAACTGTAAATTTAATTTCCTCGACGACACTAGATGGAAATTTTATAAAAAAAGTTTATTTTTAGCTTTATTCTAAAACAATAAGAAATAGACCTGTCGAACCCTATATTTTTGTAATCAGAAAAAAATAACGAATTTAATAAGCGAATAATCAGTGGTTGTTTCCATTTAAAAAAACGAAAATTGTGATAATATCTCAAAATCTAAAACCGACAAAATTTTTTTGACTACATCATCAAATTCTCTGTAAAAAAGTGTCCATATAATGTCTTAGTTATAATACTCCAGCTATAAGAATAACCAAGATAATTGCGTTTGCTGGTTTTACGATATTTTCAATTTTAGCCTCTAGCGGAAAAACAAAAGACGATAGCGCTATGAGGTTTTCGGCATTAGCAGTTTCTCGAAAAACGAGATCATGACATGTAAGCTACTTTTTTTCTAACTTTTATAGTTTCCGAGTTAGCCTATTCGGACATCGAATTTGAACCACCCTGTACATCATAGGTACCTGGTGGAGGAATATACAACAGTTCAAAACAGCTAAAAACATCACCATAGTCTCCGGATATGAATCTTATTGAATATTTATGGGAAGAAGTTAAGGTTCAGTTAAAAACTTGCCAAACTACACCAAAAAATTAACGATAATTGACGCCAATGGAGGGTTTACAGCGTATTAAAACATAATAGCAACCTAAACTTAATCACTTTTGCTGAACTGTACACTCAATTTTGTGAGCACCTGTATATCAATATTTGAAAGTATTTATATGATTTATATTATCTAATCAAATAAATAAATTTAGCAAAACGAACAAATAAGATAAAAATGTTGACTAAAGGGTTGATTAAATAACATATAATGGTTGCACTTTTTTATAATATACAGGCATAATTTTAATCACAAATACTAGAGTAAAAATGTTTACGATTCGTGTAAAACATACACAATAACTCTTTCACATTATATGTATACTTAAAAAATTTTTTTCTAAGAATAGAATAGATAATGAAATTATAAAAATATAATACCTGACGTCATAAAATTTCAACCTCGTGATTAATGAATCATTAAAAAAACCTTATAGAATTTCATGATTTCATAGTAACATAGAATTTGAAGTAGTATTTCATGATAATATTATATAACAATGTATTGATTGATCTATTTTTAAAATAAAAATATAATATAGATAATTAAAAAATATGTAGTACACATACATATTTCATTTTTTCTTAAATGGACGTATTTAAAAAAAAATCTTCATTACAAAAGAAAGCATAACTGTATGTTAATAACATCTGCGAAATAATTATCGTTATTTTTGAACAAAGTGCGTTCAAAGTCCCACCAACAAAAAAAAATCTTGCAATCAACACTCAAACCTTGTAATAAACCACTTTAAAAGGAATGACTCGTTAATTTTTAACATGTTAATTTCTAACACATTAACTTTTAACGTTAACGTCTTTTTTATGGAATGATGTGAATCAACAACTGTTTGATTTTTAACTTATGAGAAAAAACCAATGTCGTTTTACATTAAGGTCAAAGAATAACATGAAAGCTATAATTAATCTTATGATATATTTACCTGTTAGACAAGCGAATAAGAAGTAAAATGCGTTCATATTGATTTGTTTACGAAGAATCACTACGACGAACAAAAGTTTGTTGATTTTACGTTTTCTGTTTAGTATTTTAACGCGTTCACGGACGTTATAAAAGTATGACTAGACTGTAGACTGGTTTCTGGTTGTTCGTTCTGGACGAAAAAATTGGGTATGTGATAGGAGAAAACGATCATATTTGCGCATGGTCTGTCGTATGGAAGGTTGTCTAACTACTAAATTTTATAGCAAAAGTAAAACGCCATTAACACTAAATTGATTATTTTTAAATTCATTTCTTTCTTTTTGGAATTTTTTAATTAATTTGATTTACTTGAAATATAATATAATATTTTATAATATGGTATAATACAAATTGCATTAATACAAAAATGGAACAAGTTAAAATGTTTGAGTAGCCGGGTGACATCACAATTATCTCTTTTTTTCGTTTTCTCCTCATTCTATTCGATTGGATAAGTTTTTCAAAGAATAAGACGATCTTGATATTTGCACAAACACAACGTCGTTAAAAACATTGCTAATTAATTTTAAATTTATTTTTAAAATGTTTATTAATTGATTTCGGTCATTTCAAGGTTGCTTGTTTTATTAAGAAGGCTACTTTTTTATAAATATATAATAATTACAGTATTAAACTTTACTAAAAAATACACTCTATTAAAATATTTAAATTAAATTTAGAAAATTAAAGAAAAACAACGTCGCATAACAATTAGCTATTTGATAATAGATGGCGCTACAATTTTTGTGCTATACTTACTGAGATGTAAGTAGTGTTAATTCTAGTTGTATATAGTTGTTATTCAGCGTTAGATTGTTGTACATATATTTATATTGAAATAAAACTAGACCTAGAACTAGAAACATGCGTGTTTAGCCATTGTTAAATCCGAATGTTTCTAGTTCTAGGTCCTGCATTAGTTATAGTGGTAGTGTAATCATTAATTCTAGCTATTAGCACTAACACTAGCACTATTACCAGAATTACGCGCGTGTAGAGTAGCGTTTCTCAACCTGTGGTACGCGTACCCCCAGGGGTACGTGAAATGGTCTCAAGGGGTACGCGTAAAAAAAGATGTAATGGCGGACTAAGTAAAGAGAAAAGATAAAAAGCTGTTGTAATAAATGGCATTTCCATCCAAATAACATTTAATTATGACAAATCAAAATAAGTAATTGTTTTCTGAATGATGCCGAGTATTTTTATTACACAAAACGACAATAACTTAAAACCTACTTTATTTAAATTTTGAAACATTACCATAAAATTATAATTTGAAAAACTACTTGCGCCGCCATCTAACAATGGGTAGCTTAAGCGGTGGATGAACAATTATTACAGTATTTATCCTGGTGTGTTAGGAAGGGTCCCCGAACTGTCTCTGTATTTTTATTATCGTAATATTCTTTTGAATCAGTTCCCAGTTTGCTCTCAAAGTGAAGAGTGCTCTACTTACTTTTCTAATTATTGTAACTTGTTTTTTTAAACATGGATCAATGGTAAAAATTTGGCACTCTTAAAAAAAGAAAAATTACTGGTTTGGTAAGTGATCCTCCATCATCGAGTACCAGTCCTTGTGAGGAGCAACCTAAGGAG